ATATATATATATATATATATATATATATATTCAAACACAAATAATTAACTTTTCATTCACTTTCTTTTTAATTTTAGAGGGATTAATTTTGGTGAGTTGGAAGAAAAATTCATTTAAATTTGAGTATAAAAAAGAGTAAAAAAACTTGATTTAGTATAAACCTCTAAAATAAAGAAACTCAAATTTAAATAAAAATAAACTCAAATTTAAAAGAGGATAAATATTATCATTAAATTTTTAAATAAATACTAACCGTTAAATTAATACTAAATTTTAATATTCGATAGATCACTTCGATTACTATGCCAAATTCGGGATTCATAGCATTGCTATTTCTTGTTTGACCAGCTGCTTCGATTCTGACAAAAAAGAAGAGCTGGTGGATAACGCTGTCACAAGCTCCCATGTTAAAAGTCATCGAAACAATGTACTTGCCCAGGTGGCTCCTCCTTTTCTTACACCTTGTGTTTGATTGACAAGAAAAAGTGAAGGAGAATACAATTCGAATATTGTATCTCAAAACTTTAACACTTATTCAAAACGTCTCTGTTTATGAGAGACTCGTAAACAGAGACTAATCTTTTTTTCTATCTGATCAAAGATAGGTGATCTATATCAAGACTAAGATATTTATCAAAGATAAAATTTCTTATGGTGTGATGCTAAAAAGTTGTTAAAATTCAAAGTAAAACGTTTGAATTTACATTTCGTTTCTGTTATCATTTGAACTATCTTTAAAGTTAAATCAAATAATCTTTTGATATCTCTCTTCTGGAGCGTATCATCTGAAGAAACTTCATCCAGCGTTCCACTTTGATACAATCCCACACAAAAAAACAAGTACTTATCCAAGTATTTGCATATACCCTTTTTTTGGTAGATCATCTTTGCCCATACTCCCGGACCCATTTCAATCAATTATGTTAGTATTATGCTATCAAGGAAACATGGTGTGGAACACACAAGATGGGCAGGCCCCATGCATTTTTAAAGTCTCCCACTCCCAAAAGAATTGCCACCAAGCCCATATGGTCCAATAACGGGACAAGAGACGCATAAATTTACACATCCAGAGTTGAAGACGTTCTTATTAAATTACATACATTTGAGATTGACGCTACAATCGTGAGTGTCACTGATCTTGTATGAATTTGTTTAATAATCAAACAAGAGAGACATAAAATCGATATATCCTACGTTTGACATCTTTTTGGCTCAATAAAATCTAAATTTAATTAATAAATAAGTGTTTACGTACATTCGAGACTTTGAATAAGATCGTGCCTAAGAAAACATAATTAGAATTGATATCAATCCACCTGCATATCCTACTTTTGATGGGGGAACACTTTGGCATGGAAAACCAAGCATGCAACGTCCTATCCTATCACGAGGAAACCGCATCAAAATGGGCCCCTTTAAAGACTTGGATTCCAAAAATGGTCATAGCTCTGATCAAAAAAAATAAAATAAAATGGTCATAGCTGAGATTTAAGAGCAATACCATTTACAAGTTGGTCATAGTTATATATATATATATATAACTTTGTGTATTCTAGTGTTGAAAGAAAAAAGAAAAATATCATAATTAATCTTTAAATTTTATCTTTAATTTTAAGTTAATCCTAAAACTTTCGGTTGTATTAATTTAATTCATCAACTATCAATTTCTTCTCAATTAAATCGTTCCATCAATTTTAATCGTTAGATCAATTAGAGATTATCTCAATCTAATTCATTTCAACATTAATCTAACGTTAAAAATGAACAAAAAGCTTAATTGAGATAAAATTAATAATTAAAAGACTAAATTAAGACAATTAAAAGTTTAAAAATCAAATTAAAATTGAAGAAAAAAAAAAGGTGTTCGACACCGTGGAGATTCGCACGATAAAGTCTCAAATGTACAATTTGCTTTAAAAAAAAGAACTTTTTTTTTTTTTTTGGCTTTCAAAAGAAATACATTTTCTCTTGTTTTGGTTTTAAAAAGTTCTTTTTTTTTAACACTACTTTCTACTTTTTTCTTTAAAAAACTTTGAAAAAAGTGACCAAATGACGCCTTGGCATTCTTTGAAATGTCTCAAGAGCTGAAATTTGAGAGTAAGATGATTTACAAGCACACAAATTCTCCATAACAGACTACCCCCTAACCTTGGTTCTATTCAATCTTGCAAAACATTAGGACAAAGAAGAGACAGTTTTCATCCAAACAAATGTACATATTACTGACCAAAACTATTTTGACACCTGAACTCCCCCGAAAAGCAAAATTCACAGTTCAGGGTATAACCAAAAACTACACCAAAGAAGATGAGGATCATGGACAAAACGAAAAGGGTACTAACTCTGACCTGTTGCTAGTAGAATGTGCTTTGCTCACTCACTATACATCCCAACCATCGTTCCGTCTCTTGAATTCGGATTTCCTGTTTGATAGGCTCCCATACATCTCCGAGAATTTCGTAAGACAATTGCTTCTAACCCCATAATGTGCTCGTGTGTTTCGACTAATTGCAACACCCGAAAACTTGGATGTATCAATTGCCCATGCTGGTTTTACGTACTCAACTGTCTTGAAAGAACTTGCATTTGCATACAAGTAGTTCAATAGGACATCCTCACAGTTAAAATACTTGTCCACCAATGCCCTCCCTGCCGTGGCTTCCTCACTCCAGTACCTCTTAAAAGCAACCTGACTATCAATGAAAGCCGCCCCTGTTAGGATCACATTATAGCCATTATGACGGCGAGCATGTTTCTCACCTCTATACTTCAATCGGGGTCCATCAATGAGCCGGGGGTAGAAGCCAACAATTCGATCAGGATGCTCACGCCATATCCTGAAGCCTCGCTCGATATCATCACATGTCATCATAATATCATCGTCAAGCTCGAGAACAGCACGGGTTTCTATTGATGAATCCATCTTAAATCGATTGTTTAGCGAGTTTTTTTCCTCAATTCTGATCCTCACTGGGACTACCGAGTCAAAGTCACTCGATACAGGAGGTTTCCCTTTGTTCCACACAACAACAATCTCACGCACAGAGGGGCACCTTGAGTAATGTTTCACGTACATTTTCAAATTCCAGAGGCGAGCTTCATAGGTCATTGTTAATAATGTGAATTGAGAATAATGACCTTTCCACGGGTAAGCCTCTTGTGCCCCATTGCCTCCATATATATATCCAACTCCAGTGCACATTAGCACCACCGCAAACACAATTACAAGAGCAAGAACCAACCCTCCAGTACAAGTGTTTGGTTTTACCCTGCCTCGGAGAAACGAGCTCCCTCTGTTTAAGCGACTGCAAAACCGGCTCACTTTGGAAGACAAGAAGTTCGACTTCTCCCAATCAAAGATAGCATCACTTCTCTTTACCATGTTGTGAGGGCACCAGCTCAAAGGGATTAAGCACTTCACAACGCCCAGTAATATACCCACAAGTAGAACAAGTGCAGCAACAGCTATAATTGAGGCACAACCAAGAATAAACTGACGAACTGCCTCTCCAGAGGGAACTCGGTCTCCATCCAACACTGCAATCCAGTCTCCAGAACTTAGCTGCTGCACATCAAAGTGATGGTTGCGGGCACCATTCCAAGCCTTCCGACCCTTTGTTGGCTCTTCTATGCCCAAGGGAACTTCAACTTCTTTGAATTCATTGATGGTGAGAACTTCCACTTTAAAGACGCGTATTCGCCGCCCATAGGTCTCACCACAGTCCTGACCAACACGATATAGGTTTCCCTTATAAACAAATGGTCTGCCTCCATTGCGAGCCCCCATGCTCTTGTCTGTGTTATAGACAGGATTCTTCTTATGTGGTTTCCAAGGACCAAGAGGTGAGCTACTATACCAGATTTCCAGCTGTCCATTCTTCTTAGTACCGATACCACTGTGATCCGAACCAAAAAGCCAATACTTCCTGTCATGACTAATGACAAAGGAATCAACAAGAGGCTTTTTCATGATGATTTTCTCTAGTGTCCACTGCAAAGGAAAATTTAGCGCTCGATAAAGACGGACATCCCCATTTTCACTGCCCTCGGGCATCATGTAGATCTGTTACAAACAAAATTTAGAAGAGATGAAGTCGAGAAATGAAATTTCTTAAGATTTCAATCCAGTAAGGGATGTATTAGACTCCATGTCGTTTGAGTTCAGGAATACCAAATTTATCAACAACAACCAAACACTCTTGGATTAGGTAACATATGATGACTGACTATGATAGCAGAATCAAGGAAATTCATTGGAAAAAGGTCACAAAAATTTGAACACTGTTGGCAATCTAAACTCTCTTCATGAGCTTCCAATTACATTCACCTTTTACATAATAGGGTTGTAATGATTGCTCATAGTCATTTAATCACGTTGATTTAGCTCTGTTTACATTATAAATGAGATTCATTGGTTGCTAATCTGCCCTAATCTTGCATGTCCTTTGTTTTGTATATTCTTTCTTTTTGCTTTAGAGGGTTTACACTACAAAATACCAATTGTGGACATGAATGCACCCACAAAGAGATACACCTACTAATGTCTACGAAATTGAGACCTTACCTGCCCATTGTAGTCGAACACGTAGGGATAAGAGAGATGCCAGTCTTCATCAAGGGCAGTACCCAACTGTTGCCAGGTTGCTCCCTTATCGATGCTTCTTGCAACTCCAATATCTCCTTGCATGGTGATTGAATTCTTGGTTTCAAAGAATATGTAAAGGACATCTCCCTGAACCATAATATGAGTATCATTGAGAATGATGCATTTCATGATTTAAAAGAATCCAAACACAGGAATTTGATTATTGATATTCCAAGTCATGTATTGTAACATGTTCATGTTGGATGAATTAAAGAGCAGGAGAAGTTGATTTGAGGCTTAAATGCAAGCACATGAAAATACATGATATGCAAGAATCTGTCAGGGATTTTGTGTATATGTATGCATTATGTATGAAGGACTACATGAATCCTAAGGAACATGTATGTGTGAACAAACACAAGAATTCTAATGAACATCTATATATGAATGTACATATATACGTATGTATGCACCAAGACTAAAGAGNTGTATGTGTGAACAAACACAAGAATTCTAATGAACATCTATATATGAATGTACATATGTACGTATGTATGCACCAAGACTAAAGAGAGAACTCCCTACTTCTGTGAACGGCCTACATATAAACTTAAAGGAGAAGTACGCTGGTCTAATAGGTTAGCTATTAAAATCAACACAACACCTTCTCATTCACTCCATATTCCATTTTATCTCCTTGCATTCCAAATTTTAAGACCTAGTCTCATAAACACCAAATTATTAGGGAACCCTTCCCAGTCCCAGATAAGGACTCCACACCATGAGCAAACTTACAGTTTCCTTTCCTTTAACCACTTCAACAATTTTCTCCCCGAACTTTCCATGTAAGAATGAAAAATGATAGAACTGCTACAGCACACATGCTCATAAAAATTTTGAGTCAAGTGGGTTGGATAGGAAAAGATGACCCAAGAAACAAAAACCACTATATGAACGACACCAAATATACTCTCTTTTTTTGATCAACAAGTAATATACAAAAAAGAAGCAAATCTGGGATGTGCTGGACATATAATAAGAAAGGTTCACCAAAAAGATGATCTGAAATGAAATCACAAGAAGGAACCAGCAAAATGAAAAAAAAATTACATGGAAGCGATCTCAAAACTTAAAAATCAACAGAATAAAATGACAGATTTGAATCAAAATAAATAGAATCAGATGGCTGGCAACTGATATAATTACTTAAATAGACGAATCAAAACCATAAGAAATTAAATTAATAGATAAGGATTCAAATTTTGATATTTAGAAAAGGCAATAAATGGACTTAACAGATGACCAAAACCTAACCAAAGCGGAGTAAATTTAGTAAAATTCAAAGGAGCAAGTAACTCAAACTTAGTTCCATTTTCATATCAGCCTTCTTGGGTAACCTTCATAATTAATGGGATGTATCCTAAATAATTTTAGAGCTGGGAAGTGTGAGAACTTCCTTGTGCCTAAGTAAGAATGAATGAAAGTTTATTCACAAGTGTATGCTGAGGGCGCGCGCGTGTGTGTGTATTACTATAAATTGGGACACAATATTTGAGCNCATTTTATCTCCTTGCATTCCAAATTTTAAGACCTAGTCTCATAAACACCAAATTATTAGGGAACCCTTCCCAGTCCCAGATAAGGACTCCACACCATGAGCAAACTTACAGTTTCCTTTCCTTTAACCACTTCAACAATTTTCTCCCCGAACTTTCCATGTAAGAATGAAAAATGATAGAACTGCTACAGCACACATGCTCATAAAAATTTTGAGTCAAGTGGGTTGGATAGGAAAAGATGACCCAAGAAACAAAAACCACTATATGAACGACACCAAATATACTCTCTTTTTTTGATCAACAAGTAATATACAAAAAAGAAGCAAATCTGGGATGTGCTGGACATATAATAAGAAAGGTTCACCAAAAAGATGATCTGAAATGAAATCACAAGAAGGAACCAGCAAAATGAAAAAAAAATTACATGGAAGCGATCTCAAAACTTAAAAATCAACAGAATAAAATGACAGATTTGAATCAAAATAAATAGAATCAGATGGCTGGCAACTGATATAATTACTTAAATAGACGAATCAAAACCATAAGAAATTAAATTAATAGATAAGGATTCAAATTTTGATATTTAGAAAAGGCAATAAATGGACTTAACAGATGACCAAAACCTAACCAAAGCGGAGTAAATTTAGTAAAATTCAAAGGAGCAAGTAACTCAAACTTAGTTCCATTTTCATATCAGCCTTCTTGGGTAACCTTCATAATTAATGGGATGTATCCTAAATAATTTTAGAGCTGGGAAGTGTGAGAACTTCCTTGTGCCTAAGTAAGAATGAATGAAAATTTATTCACAAGTGTATGCTGAGGGCGCGCGCGCGTGTGTGTGTATTACTATAAATTGGGACACAATATTTGAGGGATCTGACTTAAATGAAAGTTACTTCTGTGCACGGACACTTGTAAATGCATAAAGTGTCTGTGTTAGACACTTGAAAAATGGGCAAGGGTATATGATATATGTCCAACATTTGGGGCTAACCAATTCAACATTACCATTTATTTTAATGGAGTCCCATCTACTAACACTAATATTTAAAGCTAATAAATTGTCAGGATGCTTAGAACTCTTATTGTCCTATATTTATTTTCAAAACAATTTTCAATGCATGCCAATCAGTTAGGCACAAAAAAAAAAAAACCTTTGTTCCACCATTAGAGTTCACATATTTGAATCTTAAAAGTCAGGTCGCAACCTTTTTCCGAGTTAAGCATCATTACATGTCCAATCAAACGATTTTTGAGCCTCTAGCCTCACTATAGTAGATTCTCTATATACACATGCTCAGATATTACTGAGGGAATATGTAATGCAGGAAAATAGCGCACATCCAAAAAGTCTCCAGAAGAGCCCTTTTACAATAAATAACACCCATCTAGAATTTCAGTTATTTGACTTTTCTTATTGTTTTGCAACGATGATTATCACTAATATACTATATGACTTATACCTCTAGATGGTTCAAGAATACACACTCAAATTATCAAAGTTGACAGTGTCAAGAAGATATGGACAAACTTAATTATAAACACTAAGCTAATACAAAGCATAGAAACAGTAAGATGTGTTTAGTTTTCATTCCAACTACAAGGTGCTACCTATAGAACTCCTCGATGACTATATCCTTGATATAAACATGTGATTCCAAGTCTTATTTAGTCTTCTAACACTACTCTCCTTCACTTTCCTCTTCTCCTCCCCCCCCCCCCTCTTTCTTTTTCTTCTTGTACCCTCTCCTGGTGAAACAGAACACTGACTCATATGATTACTGAGAAATCAGACTAAATACTCCAACAGGCCCTTATAGCACCTTTTATTCAAATCAAATCAGCCCTCCTGCATAATACATTAATTGGCATCACCAGTATCTTCTTAAGAAAGCATTTCCATGTTTTTCTTGCATTGCTAGAACATATTCCAACATCTGCATCGCAGCAAAAACCATTTCAAGATACATTGGTACAAGGTATTACAATTTTGCCTCAGAGTTGCCTACTCTGGGGATGCATCATCTCCCATCTCAACTTTCTTGTGTAATTTCATTCCAAAGTAACCAAGATGGTCCGTGTATGAATTGTCAACAACACTTAGGAATCATTAATAACTCAATAGTGACTACTATTTCAACCCGAGTGGCCACCCATATTTTGCTAAGCCCTACTTATGACCTATTGCATGATGTCTCAAAGATTGGACAAATTCACTGCACAAACATGTGAAATCTCACTGTAAAATGCAATCCTATTGCATACTAGAACTGAAACATGGATAAAGAGACAGAAATCCCTAAAAGAGGCTAACCTTTTCCTTTTTGTTTTCGCTTTAATTTATGCTACAACTTGCTTGCTCCAAACCTAAAAGGTGTCTTTTCTATCCTTTTAGGATTTAGCACTAACAAAATCCATTACGAACAACTTATCTGGTCCAATCTGCCAAGTTCCAATGGATAAATGTCATCATTATTTAAGAAAACTGATGACTAAGCAATAGTCCCCACCAATCCCACTATGTCAACAATTATAACGAATCAAAACTAAGCAATCGTCCCCACCAGTTCCTTATTCATGTTCATCACCAAGTCATAAATTCACCAACTCGATCCCATGCATCAGACAACAGTTACAAGGCACGTATTCCTTCAAAAAAAATAATAATTCATTCACAACCAAACGCCCCAGAAGTCGTAGGGACAGACACCTCCTGCAGTGGGCCACCCTTTTTTATTCAAAACCCAAAACACTTCCTCGCACTACCAGTGAATGAAGATGGCAAAACCATTCGTTGACCAACTTGTTCAGACCAAGCTCATCTGCACAAACATCTGTAAGACCTGGTAAAGTTCTGCCGAAGCTTTGATTGATTCAATTTGTAGTATGTCAACCGATTTTGTTCAGTAGCGGCCCCAGCATCTACCACAAATTCTTGAAAATAATTTTCCAGCTCTCTCAAATCGTTGAATACTCAAGTCACGTTGGAACATACGATAACTGTAATATTGCAACTGTGTCAGTCGAGTAGATGAAGGTCCACCTTGGGAAGTGTTCCACTGTTTCAAATCTGGATTCCATCCTAGCTCACCATAAGGGAACAATACCACATAATGCAATGGCAAATAGGCCGGATGACACTCATTAATTTGCATCAAACCGTTATCTCCTCTCAAATGCAACACAATATCTCTCATTCCACTTGATTCAGTTCCATCTCCCGGTAATATTACCGCAATCTCATCAGTTGTTGGGAGATTATATCGACGTCGATCTGTTACAGAACTGTAGTGAAGATAGGCTGGTAAATTCACCCCCGTCAATTCCAATTCACTTAAAATTGTGTGAGCCTGTCGAAATTTAATAGGAAATGGATTTACTTGCAATAAACAATCTTGGATGGTTTTCAAAACATCTCTTCTCAAGTTAGGATTTCTGTTGGTGCGAACATCTAAAGCTGAATTAGGATCATAAATGTACAATTGAGAGTAAATTGGATCACATCCTGGCTGTGGCATAAGCGATCCTGTTCGATGGCGTAATTCTCCATGGATGGTGAATGTTCTAGGCCCCCTCCCAACAATTAATCTGTCATCCAAAGTAGCACCAAGACTTGTAAACGCATTAGCTGCATTATACTCTCGTGTGTGTTGACGAAACGATTTTGATTGTTCATCATTGTTGTCATACAATGCTTTAAGCATTAAAGGAGGTGCAATAAGTGGAGGTAGTCTAATCTTTCCTTGTAAACAACATTTACCAAAGAGAGGATTTGATATAGATGATTTTGTTAATTTTTCAGCAACCCAGTGTAAGGCAGAACAATGAGGACATGTTCGATTCATCAAGCCGAGGAAATGACGATCTGGAATTTGATGGTTTCGAGAATTAAGTGCAACATCCATAGCTACACCTTCTTCTACAGTATAGGCACTACATATAAAATTTAGATGTCATACAATTTGATTGTATAATGAGAACATGAATAAGACAGCAAGAGTGAGAATAGGAAATTAAAACTTAAAGCGAACACCTGGTGCCTTCATTCAGATTGCGCATTTGTTGGAACATGTTTGTCATATCCGATGCCTCTGGGGAACATGGGGAGAATGGTTCCAAGACTGTTGTTATGCTTTTGTCTAGG